TTACTTCAATACTTGAAATAAAAAGTTTTATGTATTAAATTTACAATTGAAAATGTTATTAATAGAAAAAAATATGAGGAAAAAAACTAATATTGATTGGTTAAACTTAAGAATATGTGTCTTTAAATTGTTATACTTATTTTCTTATCAACTTCATCTTAAAAGAATCTAAAAATTCTTTATCGAAGATAGTTTAAACTATATATTGAGTATACATAATTGCTTTTCATCAGTATATTTAGATTAAACTGAAATATTTTCAATTAAATATTGGCAATGATGATAAGATAGTATGAATCTAAAAATGCTTAAATTATTTAATTTGAATTATCAAAGAATTATTATCTTCATAAACTTCTAATCTCAGATTTTTTCCCATCATTTATTTATTTCTTTTATGTATTTTATTTTTAAAAAACTGATTTGTGGTCTAAATAATCTGAAAATTTTATGTATAATTGATATATATATATATAAATTTACAGATGGATGAGAATAAAATTAATAAGATAAATATGTATTTTGTTCATGTAATAATTTTTAAAAATTCATCACTTAATATTTTTTAAATTGATTTTGACTGTGGCAAAATCAATAATATTTATTTCATTAGCTTATAGTTATTATAAGATTTCATCTTCATTTACATATTCATCTGAAGTAGCTAGAAGTCTGAATGTAATAGTATCACAAGAATCATCAGGACCTATATATTTATATTAATTAAATAGAATTCCAATATCTTCATTTTCTGAAATATATGTTTTGTTTTTATCAATATTAGGAATGATACAAGCTAAATGAGAATCAGTTTATGCAATCAATATTAAACTTTTAACTTTTTCTTTAACTTATTTCCAGGTTATTTTTGGTAATATTCCAGGATTAATTAAATATCCATCCTTAAGAGTAGATTTATTTTGTTATTAAAATGATACTTCCAGATTAAATTAAGTATAATAATCAATAGCTCTACCTAGTAAATTTCCACTTGCTCCTCCAATAAACCCACCAAGAATACCACCTATAACAACTCCAACTGGACCTCCTACTGCACCTAAAGCCATTCCACCTTCAATACCTAAGAAACCCAATCCTATTGCACTACCTGTTTTAAGAGCAATTAATATTGAATTATAAACTTTCTCACTTTAAGTTAAAAAATCAGATAAGATTATTCCTCCTACTGAAATTGATGTCATCAATGCTGTAAATCCTATTCCTACATAAGGTACTACTTTTCCTAAAGATTGTATACTTTAAGCATACATAATCCCTCCTTATACTGATGCAGAATATAATAATCCTTTTCCTAACTTTTCTTTGTTAACACCATCCATTATACAATCTACTGTTAAACTTCCCACTGTTCCTGCTATTATACCACCTATTTAACCATTTATTCTAGCTTATTAAAATTGATAATTTGTTTCTATTGCTTTTACATTATTTACATTAAACTTTTAATTTTATCCTTTTATAGATTATTGTACTTCTTATACTGTTACTTATTCTGTTTTTATTGGTTTTCCTACCTTTTCCCATTTATTTGAATAACCATTCTTACCATTTGCATCAATCTTTTTTGAAAATGTCAATTCATTATTATTATTAGGATTGTGATGCATTAATAACTTATTACCATCTTATAATGTTGCTTCATATGCCAAATTACCATTCTTATGTTACATTTATTATAATGAAGTAATCTTCTAAGCTTTCAATTATTAATATGTTAAACCTGCTGTCTTTCCATTATATATAGGTTAAGATTTTTAAAGTAATGTATCAGACTCTTAAGTATTGCCTAATTAAATTGTTTATTATTTCTTCATCTTCTCTTTAAATTTATTTTATAAATTTTATAAATATTCCTTCTAATATTCAATATTAATTATTCCTTTTAATATAAGTGTGCCTATATTCTATCTTAATGATTTCATAACTTAATCCAATTATTCTTCTATTTATTAAAAGAATGATGCTGGATTATAAATCTAATCTTTTAACTTTATTATTTCTAAGTATACTTAAGTCAATTTATTTATATGATTCAAAATATTCTTATAACTTGAGTGCCTTAAAATTTGAGTTAAATTGAATTAAATCTGTTTAAAAATATTTTATAGTTCCTTTTCAACTCTATCTAATATTTCATCTTAATAAATATCTAAATCACATTATTATTCAGCAAAAAATTATGTAATTTCAAATATTCTTTTACTATGAAAATTAACCAATGTTTCTATTTTTGGTTTAATCTTTTCTTGTATAACTGAATCCCAATAAATCTTTCTCAACTTTGGATCAAGTGCAAATGCATAGTTATTCTTCACTTATTTTACAAATACTATATACTATTTTTTAGATTCATGATAAAAATATTCTATATCTTATATAATAAATTAAAACTATGGGAATAATAATACTTCTTATTCATTTGGAAATTCAGAATGATAATTCTCTAATTTAAAGCATGGATAAGGAACATCATCATCCAATTCAATTTAATAAAATATACCATACAGAGATTGCTAAGAAAATTTTTTAGCAACATCAAAAGATAAAGATGTACTTGTCATTGTATTCCAAAACAATGATGAACCTTCACATAAATTTTAATATAAATCTTGAACGATTTATTCAAATGTATCTTATGAATCTATAGATATACCCCTATAAAGATTCTTATAATATTTTTGATTTAATTCTTATTCTTTAAACCCTTAATATAGGCATAAAATAATATTCTTAATCTCTTAATAATTATGTTTAGCAAACTAGTAATTAAAAGTTTGATAAATTTCTTCTCTACTATATAAATAAATCAATTTCTCAAACAAACTAAATTTTTTAGAATATTTTTATTTTTCCTTTTATTCTAAATCTTGAAAAATAATTTACTTTTTATTTTCTTTCTTTGATATAGCTAGTAAACTATCAATTTCTGTAAAAACTTGCTCTTCTTTTAGTTCTTTGTTTTTTCTAATTTCCTCTATTACTACAAGAAATTGAATACTCACATAATCTTTTGAATGATAATACTCTATTTACTATTATTATGGAGATAATAATTTAAGAAAATCATTGTATATATCTGTTTAATTCATACAAAGAATTGCATTCTCATGAGCTAATTAAAATGAACTTGAAACTAGAGCTTTAATCTAATGATTATTAATAAATAAATCAAAATGATTATATTTATTTCCACAAAATATAACCAGGTTTTATTTAGAGTATTTTACAAGATCATAAGCAAATTATCCACTTGTTATTATTGTTATATCCTTATCTCCTATTTATTACAGTAATCTTAAAGCATCATTTAAATTATCAAATGCTTAAAATAAATATTAATAATCATTTAACAACTGTTTGCAAATTAATTAATTCTCTTAGTTGAACATTTATTTATCTACCCAAATAAGAATTGGGTAATCTGAACTAGTTTTAAAATTTGAGTACATATTTTGTTCAAATAATAATTATTTTATTATGATTTACAAATATTATAATTCTTTTTATTTCCAAAATAATCAAAAAATTTATTTCTATTTTAATATATATTTATTTAAAACATTCAGAGTATTAATAAGAGGCTGATTTTCTTTCTTAGTCTCGATATGTTCCAATTTTCTTTTATCAATACTAAGAATATTTTTATAAATCTTTTGATATTTATGACCTGAATATGAATAGCCTATATAATACGTTTTAGGAATAGTTTTCACCCAATAAAAATTTAGAATCCAATCATTTGAAACATAAAAATCCTAATAATCTTCTAAGCGATATTGATGATTATATACCTATCTTTTAATGTTTCCTGAATTCTTAGACAAAATTTAGAAGAAGTTATGAATTATCATTAATTTTGAAATCTTGCAGTGATCTTCTTTTATTTTCCTATTTATTTCCTCCACACCCTCACCTCTAAATGAGAAGCTTTCTCTTTTTATGGTTTATCATATTTCGCTATTTATATATCCATAAATGTTAATTATTTGTTAGTTATTAACTTTTGAGGTCAAATACATTCTTCTATATTTTAAAAAAAATTATTTATTTTTATTTTATTCCTAAGTAATTATAATTCGCAAGGAATGAATTTTTATATTCTATAATTATTACCATAAGAATCTCAATAATAAATTTTACATTCTTGAATTCAATGAACCATATATAATCTTTAAAAGCCAAACATTTAATGAAAGAAAAGGAAAATTAACGTCATTGAATTATAAAATTAAAAAATAATGGCTTAAATTAATTATTAACTATTATATATTTGTTTATTAATAAAATTTATATTATTTAAGATAGCGGTATTAAAGTCCTTTTTTTTTTGATATGTTCATCAATTAGTTTATATAGATCTTATTCTATTTTATTTTAGATATTCTCATTTAAATTTTCTCTGATTGATGTGTAAAATTCTTCTTCGCTCTAGAAATTCAAATGTTCAAGTATTACATGTTTTGCTGTTAATCTTGAATTATTATGAGATTTGCAGAATGTCCAAGCCAATTTATACACATATTAGAGATTTTTTGGAATTAGATATATTTTTCTTATATCTTATATATCTCTCTATAATTAATTGGTTTTTTCATATAAATGAATCAAAGTTTATTAGGATACATCTATCAACCTTTCTTACAGCTTCCTTATTGTTTTATTGATATTTGATGATTATTTAATATTATAGACACTTAAAATACTATCCATTAAGAAATTATTTGTATTTTATGGTAATCTTAATAAATTTTTAAAAGCTCTCTTCCTCAACATTAGAAATCGTTTTCTGATCGATTTGTTTTAAAACTATTCAATTATTTAACAGTAGTTGAAGTATGGTTGAATATAAATTAAAAATAAAAGAAGTCTTTAACGAAAATCCATCTTAAAAGAAACATATTTCAGTTTACTCATTTTAAATTGAACAATTTTTTCAATATCATCAATATGCTATTTTATTTAACCTTTATTGTCTATCTTTATTCCTAAGTACTTATAGTTATTGACAACCGGAAAATTATCATAGCTATCTTCTACCATTTTCCATTTTATAGGTAAGATTCCAGATTTCTTTTCATTCAAAATAAATGCCCATTCTTTTGCTTAAATTCTTAGTTAAAAAATGAATTATTATAATTTCGATTGTTTAACAATAAAGACTAAATCATCTGCATAACCAAGAAATTAGTAAGAAAATTTAATTGCAGATTTCAATTGTCTTAAAAAACCATCCATATAAATGTCAAAAAGTTACGGGGATATAGGAGAACCTTGAATAACTCCATTTTCATAATAATATTGTTCTTTTTTATTATATGGGTTAATGTATATTATTCTACTGTGTATTGCTTTCAGAAATTTCACTTCATTCTATTCCAATACATTATTATTTTCAAGTAGTTAATATAATTTTTCCCGATTAACAGTATTATATGCACTCGAGAAATCGATAAATAACATTATTAATTTTTGGGCTGCCTTAGTTTTTTTAAAAATATCACATATTGCTAATATATTAACTTAAGTCCCAAACCCTTTCACAAAACCTGTCTATTCTTTTAATATTTTTTCCTACAAATAATTCATTAGCTTATCATAAAACCTCATCTCGATAAATTTGTATAATGGGCTTAAAATAACAATAGGTCTAAATTGGGTTTTATTTGGGATATTTGGATAAACTTTATTAAGAGGTACAAGTCTAGCCCAACCCAATAATTTATTAATTAAAAATGTATCTTCTTTCCATAAATCTGAGAGAATTTTCCAGTTACAATTCTTTATAAATTAATGAGTTATGCAATCATAAGATATAGCTTTATCTGAAGCTAGCTTTATTCGTAGTTTTTCAACCTAATCTTTAGAGAGTTAATTCAACTATGGAATAGCCAACGGAAAATATTTTACTTATTTTGACAAATTATCTAATTGAATGTAACAATTCTTAAACACATCTTCTCCTACAATAATATTATTCGTATCATCAAGATAACAATTATAAATTCCTCCTTCTCTCTTGTTTAAATTCAATAGAATAGTTTTTTTGATTAACTTAAAAAAGTCTCTTTTATCTCCTTTAAAGGTGTTATTAAATTAATCCACAAGTTCTTATTCATGCAATTTATATTAGAGTTTTCGAAGTTTAATTCTTCTTTTGTTAATTATGTGGTGCTTATTAATAGATTTTTGGTATTGTTTATAAAAAGAGGAAAAATTATCATTCTGATGATATAATTTCTGGCATTCTTATTATGCTAATTTCTTATTTATTTCTAAAATTTCTTTTCTGCAATTATTCTCTTAACTTATTATGAGTTAAATAATTAGTAGGACATGATCTGATAAGTTTGTCCATTTAGATTGGATAGAAAAAGGAATTGATTTATTTATTAGAATGTGATCTGTTTAAGAAATACGTATTTTATCTAAAATCTTTCGTCTAAAAGTCATAGTATTTTCGTTCAATTATTTAAGAATTGAAATAGGATTTTTTTTAGAATTAAAGTCTCCACATACAATCATAAGCTAATTTTATTTAATTTCAGAGAGTATTTTTAATATGATATTAGTAAGAGCAACTTTATATCTATTGTATGTTACATTATTATTTAAGTACACATTGATTATAATTAAATCTAACAATTAATTTGTTGCTCTTATGATTAGTATGTCATAATCATGATGATTAATGTAATAATCTGTAATATCTTGAGAGTTAAATTCTTTATTAATACCTGTTATAATGCCTCCAGAGTGTTTTTATCCTACTTATTTATGATAGTATTTGTATTTAATAGAGTCATTTATTTTTGTATTTCTCACTTCCTATAAACATATAATATAAGGACTTGCTTGATCAATTATTTTAAAAGATTCTTATTTTAATGAGCTTACATTCCACGATAAAAATGTTAATTGTATTTCTGTGTTTGTGCTGTTCGTGGAGGGGTTTATTTAATTTTACTATTTTTTATCAAAATCAAAACCCTCCTTAGTTGTTTTATCTTTCAAGAGCATATTCATCTTAAAGTTGATTGTTGAATCTGTTGGGAAATCTCTTTGGTTTTAGAAAGTAAGGTTATTATCCTTAAAATCTTCCAAATTAATTATTATTATTATTTTAATTCAAGGAATTATTATTTCTGTATATTGGATAAGTTCGTTAATAGTTAAAATCATTTATTGGATGATTTCGCTAATAATAATTATAATTACCTTAATAATTTCTATTTAATTCATTTTATATCTGATTTCTAAAATTTGTCTAATTGTGGCAATTTCTATTTGAGTTATTCCAATGATAATTCTTATTTTATATGTTCTAATTTTAATTATTCATTTGGCGATAATTATTATTATAGTAGGAATATCTCCTATTTTGGTTATTAATTTGTTATTTATTTTAATAATTATTATTATTTCTATTATTCCATTTTTTCTATTATTATTATTATTAAGAATTAAGGATTCTATTATTATTATTATTATTTGATTAGTTTTAATGTTATTATGAAAATATGGTAGCCCCTTAATTATCATTCGTCTGAAGATTTCGTTTTTTTAATTCTGAATAATGATTATCTTTTTAAAAGATGTGTACAGTTTAGGGGTAATTCATAAGCATTCTAATATAAGATTTTCTATTAAAATTATATAAGACAATATTCATTTTTATAGCATTAGCTAGATGATACATATAATTTTTATCTACATGACCTTCTAGAACAGAAATAGGTAGTCTATTTTAGTATTTGGTCTTATACTAATTAAATTAATCATTGAGTTCAGTTGGGTTAAGTTATTTTATTATACCAATAGTTTCTATAATATTATTTGAAGGTTCTTAATGTATTTGATTTTATCTATTGTCTTAATTATCTTATACTGATATGTCTATTCTCTCTTCATTATCTTATTCTTAACGTTCAATTTAAATTTCTGCAATATCTCCAGCTAATCCTTCTAAGTCTTTCTCAAGTTTCTAAAATTAAGATGTTTAGTTTTAAAGTGATATATTTAGGTTTTATATTTATGTAATTGATTAATTTTAGTATTCCATTCTTCTCCTTTCTTATTCCTTTAGTAATTCAATTAGGGAATTAATAGACATATAAATGGTTTGAAATAAATTTTTTAAATAATCTATGTCATAATCTGATAAAGATTAAGTCAATAAAAGAATATTTTCCATCTAGGTTCTAAATGTAGATAGTATTTGTTGAGCTATTTGCTCTCCTTAGTCAATTGTTATT